TAGGCATGCCTCTCAAGTACTTGTGCTACTAATAGAGCAGTATAGTATACATTAAAACATGTTTGTACATTACAATCACTATCCAGGGTTTCAAGAAACTTCAATTCATATGTTAATGTTTTATGTTAATATTCCTTTATACTCCTTTATAGGCCATCATTGATATGGAACATGCATACCGCGCAATGTCTTTTGTTGCAGGGAGACTGAAAAGTGGAAGATCAGTTGCTATCTTCGTGGCTAAGTAAGTTGAAGTTGAAGTCAACTGAAATAATTTGAATATACTAGATTATCTTTACCTCATTCCATTGGACATACTTTGTTCAATTTTGTTCAAATTAATTTGTACAAGGGTCCAAGATATAATATTGTACTTACCGGTATGTTTGAATTTGTTTTCTCGATTCATTGAAATTTGAGACACAAATTTTTAGGAAATCATTAATTGCTTCTAGAGCATACCTGAGCCAATATTGGAATTTTAATAATGACAATGACTTTTATTTACTTCCTTTGGCTTGTTTTCAGCATCACCCAAATTATTGAAATCTTGGAGCATATACGTATTAATAATATACCACTGAAAACAGAAACAATATCAGAAGTGACACATAAAAATTGGTTGGTTTCTCCTGCGACACGGCGTGATGGTAAAATCATAAGAACTTATAGCAAGACTATGGTTGATCCAACGGAGGGTAAGCAAAGGGATACACATGTATGGACTGTCTGGTAATTAAAGTACATTCAAAGCAGGGTGTCGTCACATGCGCATGCGGCAGATGGCCATAGTGTGTCTTTGTTCACAAACAAGTGTCTACCCAGAAGCCTTTGCATTTTTAGCGTGCATTGATATCGTCGCTTAGGACTCAATTACCTAACTGCTTTAAGCATTAAAATGAGAAAATATTTTTTCTAGATCAAAAATACAAATAACCAAATTATTGCAGCTATAACTGACCAAATTATTGCAGCTATAACTGACTAAGTTATTGCAGCTATAACTGACCAAATTATTGCAGCTATAACTGACCAAATTATTGCAGCTATAACTGACCAAGTTATTGCAGCAGTACAGCAGTTATGTATGCCCACTAGCTACTGAAGTATCCCTTAGAAATGCCTTTAAAAGGTTGTTTCAAGTTTCTACTTCCCCTTTTACCGTTGTGCACTCTGGTGTAAAAAAATTCCATTTTTGTCAGTCCCCCCTTCTTGTATTTATTGATTTAGTGCATTTTGAAGTTGTACGTGTGAGTCTATAATGTTTATGTTGGCGAAATATAAAACAAACTTGGATTGCATCATGACACAAATCAACTTTCTGATATGCTAGAACACAATTGTCTGTGTACCATGTTTGGACCAAATTGGACAGTGTGAATTTGTTCTCAAGAATGAAGCTATGTTACATGACGTTCTATATGGCTAAGACGTCACATGTACATGCGGCAGATGGATGATACGTGGATAAGCATCCATTTATTTTTAGGGGACAGACAAATGAAGGACCAAATAAAATATCATCAAATGAAGTATCAGATAATCATAGTGGCTGGATCACACAGTTTATCTTTTAATTCAATAGGCAATGTATCAATTCTTTCATTGCTGTGGTTGCTATGAGATGGTAGGTTGCCATCATTGGCTGTACTCGTTAAATTTGAATGAGATATAACTGTAAATGGAATGTTAATATGATTTTAGTATTTGATAGTAGTGAATTGTCTTCTTCAGGTGAAGAGAGAGAATCAAGAACAGAGAACGGCAAAGTTGTCTACACTGCCAGACCTAGTTTTCATCAAGATCCTCCTTCAGGTAGGGTTTTTAAAGTTGAAATTCTCTAGCTCTTGGTAAAGTACTTTTTGACTCCTGTGTGCGAAGCACACAATTGTTAGTGCATCTGTGTGTGTGTGTGTGTGTGTGTGTGTGTGCGTCCCACTGATATCTCAAGAACCAATTATCAGATTTTAATGAAACTTGGTATATAGAAATCTGTGCATTAATTACATAATTTGCATATTAATTAACCAAGTTTTAGCATTTTCACTTGTTGCTCATGTACTATTGAGCAGATTTCAATGAAACTTGGTACATGAATACTCTAGAATACTTAGACCTGATTAGTTTTGGGTTGAAATTACAGGCATATTAATTGCCTAATTTGCATATTAATTAACTGATTTTAAGCATTTTTATTTGTTTCTCATGTACTATTAAACAGATTTTAATGAAACTTGTTACATACTCTAGGATAATGCTCAGACCTGATTAGTTTTTGGCTGAAATTCTGTACATATCAATTACCTAATTAGCATAGTAATTAATTGTTTGTCATGTACTATTGAATAGATTTCAATGAAATTTGGTACATAAATGCTCTGGGATAATGCGCAGACTTGATTAGTTTTTGGTTGAAATCCGTGCATATTAATTAACTAATTTTCACTTGTTTCTCATGTACATGTGTGTACCATTAAACAGATTTCAATGAAACTTGGTATATAGATGTTCTGGGATATGCAATACATTAATTAATTATTATGTTAGTTTCATGTGCGTTTTTACTATGCATAACTGTAATGTACTGAGCACTGTTACAGATAGGGACATGCAATTGGTGCTTTAATTTTGTTGTCTGACAAGATATATGACCAAAATATTAAGTCGTAAATGGTCCTTATTTCATCAAATATTTATAATTGTTAAACCATAGCTACTTGGAACCACCCACATTTGCTCTATTGTGCCTTTTCAGCACCAGACTTTCTCGTCCATATTTTCCTTCAATATTTCTGGAAATGAACCCTAATTTTGGGGCCAACAGAGTCAATTTTCAGTTTTTACTAAAAATTTGGCTATTTTTGTCCAAATATTCTGAGGAAAGTATAAACAAGGCTATTTTGTGAATTTGTGTAAAAAGAGGGAACTGATGATGAAAAGATGCTTACTGTAAAAAGGACAGAGACAGGTATATGGTATTTCTTTGTTGTACTTCATGCCTCCAATATCTTCAGCACACAGGAGTTCTTTCTAAGCTTTCAGTAATCAAAACTGTCACCAAGTTTAAGTTTGTCTTGTTTCCAAAATTGTCTTGACAATCTACTACAAGAATATGGCTTGTGAACCACATTGTGTAGTATTGAGCCATTAGTAAGTTACATGAATATGTAGTAAATCTTGATGAATTTTGCCACTCATTGACAAAATCACTTCTGGTGTAGACCAACCATAAATCCTTGCATTTCATTGCATTGTTGTTTTGAATTCTGCTCCTGGAACATACTAAACACACATCATCTAGAAAGTACAAGTTTATTCGATTCCTTTTTAATTATTTTTTTTCTTTCACAGCTTTTCTGTTGGAACTCCAAAAAGAATCATGAAGATGATACACGTAATAGATAGCAAAGCAACATTTCAACAACATTTAATTTAGATACACTACCATTTTAATTAACAAACCCAATGTATTTTATAATCACAATGATGTTATTAATTAAAAATTGTCATACTTACATACATAATATATTTGTGATTGTGTTCTTATATTAGTCACTTTTAACAAAAGGTAGGAAAAAGAGAAGATAGTTTTACAACAAAAGGTATTTTTAAAAATTGTGTTGATATAAATTTAACACCAATTACTACTAATGTCTTATCATTTGATCCGCTAGTTTTGAAGTAGGGAATAAATAAATTTGCTAATAAATAATAAATTATGAATACATTTACTATATACAAAAAAAACACTTTAATACATCATTTGATAATTTACTTTGCTCATAACCAGGAATAATTTAGCTCATAATATACTTCTGTAATAATTACTTCTTGTTTAAAGTAAACACAAATTGTTCAATGTCATTTTGTTTGTGGAGGGCTCATGTAAAAAAAATACGGAAGTCCCTGATCGTTTTTTTTTTATTTGAAAGTGGGAGAGACACATTTTTTACTTGCAAATACAGAAAGACATGATATGCATATGCATATTGTTTTCATAATGCACACAACTGTTCCGTCTATATCTGTTTCTATAGAACAGACTATTTTTGAAAATATTATTTGAAAGTAAAATTGTCAAAAGATGTTATAATTAAACAAATTCACTTGTCAATAAAATAAAACTATTAAAAGAAAAATCAATACAATAAATATCTTCCACACAAGTTGATAGTTTTCCTGAAAACAGTTTGATTGCTCTTTGTCTTGTCAACATACTTCTCTCGTGAAACGACATCAGTCTTACTCTTCTTCATGTGCCCAGAAAAAGCTGTCATTTGGGTCAGTATGCAGTGTTTCTTTAAGATCTACAGTGAAAAAAAAAACATCCAGTGATTTATGAGTATGTCAGTCAGTTGTTGTTTTCTTATGAAAACCATTAAAAAAATAGTCTATTTTATAATATGCATATAGTGAAACCATAGTTCCAGCCACATGTAATTTTGTGAAGACAGGATCATATTTGCACTGTAAGATCGACAGGACTGCACAAATTGAAAAAATGGATTACCTTCCATGTTAAATCTTCCTGGCAAGATTTGGTCTTCATCCTTTTCAGAATGATCCTCAATGCTGTCGGATGATGTGTCTGTGCAAGATGATAAATATAAGCATGCAGTAGTAACAGGACTATCACTGTCTGTTATTACTAGAGACTTGTTCCATTGTCTAGCATTAGTACATTCTGAACATTTTGGTGGTGATACACCTGGACCACGAGGATAACCATCATAGTCATCTGATCTATTGTAACTTCGAATAGCACCTCCATGATGATTTTTACGTATTCTCTGCCATATATCATTTTCAGGACAAATGGAAATTACCTGATAATGGAAAATCAATTATGTATAAACATGTTTATACTATATATGCTATATATGCTATATATATATGCTTTTGACTCAGGTGTCACCAATGTTTTATTGGAAGCCCTCAACATATGTATCATATGCAAAACGAAAGTTATCTGCTTCATCAGATATCAGAAAGTTGTCTAATTTATGCAATTTAGAAAATTTATATTCAAGGTTGCAACACTAAACTAATCAGGTCTGTGGAAGATGAAATTACAGTGTTTACAGGATGATTGTTTCCCCTTGCAATTATATTTAAGAGGGATTTCAAATAAAAAATGTAAATAAAAAATGAGGAACTGCAGTATTGAGTGTGATAGTGCCACCAAGGTCAAAGTCTGTGAAAGTGCTATCAAAAAGGTGAGCATCAATTTAGTCTCTTATTCAGAACTTGGTCTCAGATTTCAAATAAACTATTATTTATTAAGTCTTCCCCTATTTTATACTACTACATTGCACTAAAACACTTTTTAAGAGTATTGCAGCAGTAAGTGGAAACAAGTTTAAAATAAATAGTGCAGATTAAGTCACTGTTAAAATTATATTTCAATAAATAAAATAAACTTTAGCAATTTTATTTGCTATGTACATTTGTTTGTTAAAACTATGATGATCAATTTTCACATCAGGTAATGTTATGTATAACAGACGCTGGGTTATGAATCAGAATCTCCGGTCCCTCATAGTCATAATGTTCATGGACGGATGAAAAACAATGAAAGGAAAATCAGTAATCTATTAGCTATGCAGTGCAGATGGAAATAAACAAGGAAACAAGATTCAAGGTAAAGGTATAGATGCAGATATTATTTTGCTTTTTCTTACTCGGACAGCTGGATAGTGTTAAAATTGTGGAGCTCTGCCAATGGTGGAACATACCGTACTCAAAAATGATTTTAAATTGTAGTGAACCATAGCAAGTGTATGTGATTAAAAGTCCAGAAAGTTTGTACATGTTGCTCTTTGATTGACAAAGTCACTGTTGATGATATATGCAAATCAATAGCCCCTCTGTTTTTGTACATTAATACATGACAAATGAAATGTCACCATTGTTGATCAAGTGTATGTACCAGTTCTACACAGAACTAATGACTTGGACTGCCTGCCAGACAATTTTACACTAGTGAGTCTCTAATGACTATGTTGGCAAAATGTAGAACATATACTGTATTGCAATTCCAAATTGTAATGCATTGTGGGATAGTTATGTCAGATTGCAGAAGCAGACATGCTTTATGATTGGCTGTTGTGTTTCATTAGGTCATAACTATCCCACAATACACTAAGATTTGGAATTGTGATATGCTCTGTGGCTGTCATATTGTATCATAACACAAATCAACTGTTGTTGATATGCTATAAACACAATTGCCTGTGAACCAACTTTCGACCTAATCGGATAGCTTAAATTTTAGATATAGGCAGAAATGTGCAAAAAAAGATGAACATTGCTTATTTTCTTCAAACAAAATTGCTACCAGGCAACCATCTTGAATTGAATTGTGACATAATCAACTTTCCTTGATCTGCTAGAACACAATTGTCTGTGGACAGTGTGAAATTAAGATATAAGTAGTAATGTGCAGCAAAAGACAAAAATTCATCAAACAAAATGACTGAGAGTCGACCATCTTGGATTTGATTTTAAAACAAATCAACCCTTGTTGATGTGCTAGCACACAATTTCCTGTTAACCAAGTTTGGGTGGCTGCTGGTCAGCCGTATTGCAGAGTCTCAACAAAAATCAAATTGCCTCTTTGTGAAATAATATACTGCCTCGGTATTAAATCTGAACTTAGCAATTGTACTCTCAAGTTCTAAGCAAAAATGAACAAACAAAAAATAACTTTGATGAACAAAAACAATTGATGTGCCCTCAGTATGCCAACAGGTATTACCAATATTCTAAGCTTGAACAAAATTGGTCAGCACAATTTGGAGATAATGCTCAACTCGCTATTTTTGAATCAAATATGGCCAGTTGTTAATTTTGTATCTTTTGTAACAAAAAAGACCTAGAGCATATGTATACCATATCATGTATCAACCATGTACTAAGTCTAGAAAAAATAGGTTCATGGACTGAGATAATGCCGAACCCAATCCAAAGGTGAACAACGTTAATCTTGATGGCATACCTCTTCACAGCATTTTCTGCTGACAGCAGCTCTGTAATCTATTGATTTCCACAATTTATCTCTTTTCTGCAAAAAATTTGGATACCTATCTTTCCAAGCTTTTCCCAATGCCCAGGGAAATATTTCATACTTATAATCTTCTTCATCTTCTTCCATATCATGGGCCAAGTATCTGCATTTGAAGAAAAAGTAAATAATTTGATTGGAATTAGTGATTTTAAGTTAAATTAAATTAATTAGGGTCAGGCCAAATGAAATACAGATATTCACAATTAAATCCATCTACACACGAGTTTATACTTACAAGGCCACAAAAAAATTAGTTCTTGTATAATGCTTAGTAGAATAGTTTGCTCTCTTGAAATATGCAAAAACCATTGCCAACAGATGCTGCAATTAAAACCACAAACCATGTATCACTAGCAAATACACATACAAGAGTTTGAGCATAGTTGTGTTATTAAAAACCAAAAATAAAGGATCCCACACCAAAGCAAATTATTGTGTACATGCTTTAATAAACTAAAACTAGCATGATTGGAGAATGGGAGGAAGGACTATGATTTACATAGCGACCAGCTTTTGACTTTGCATTTTATATTTTCAACTTTCATCTTTTACAAATAGTGCTGCTGGAGACTTACCCTGTCTGCAATTTTTGCACATTTATCCATCCACATAAAATCTTGAATGACATCATCATCTGCGATCAATAATCAAATGATTTTAGCTTAAATATGACAATTTAAAAAATTACCACATAGTTATGAAGTAAGTATATTACATGTATTACATTTAAACACACACACATAAAATCATATATTTTGAGCTGGAAAAAGTGGCCATTTGCCAATTTAATATTGAGTCCATTTCAGTAATTAAGATTTGATTTAGTGATTATGGGTCAAAAATCTACAACTAATTTCCTGCATAAAAAAGGTAAAAGAGCAATACCGTCATATATGATTATAATAATAACGTACGCAAATGCTAATGATGAAGATGAAATACAACTTACTATAAAAGTGATAACCTACCAAACAATCTGAAAAATGCCGCCATTTCTTTTGATTTCACTGTAACAGTAGAATTCTTTGCCCGTTTTGGGGGAGAGAATAATGGTGACATCCTTCCATCTTCTTCCTGGGAATCCGATTCTTTTCGACTTCGTTTCGCCTGCACGACTTTAGGTTTGCGTCCCGCGTTCTCTCGCCGCTGCACCACTTGGGTTTGATTCTTGTTCCTGGAGATAAACACCGGCCTGCTATCTTTAGAGTCGATAAAAAATTGCAGGCAACCACTTTCAGAAAGTGTACTGTCACCCGAGTACATTGGTGGGTGGGCAGAATATCGGCAGCTAAATGTCGATGGTTCACGCAAATCTTCCAAATGTTCGCGATTTGTCCAGAAAGCTTTTTCGAAAGAGGGTAAGTGGTTGTGGTAACCCTCTCCGAACTGATAAAGCGGAGAAAAATGTGGGTTTTTCTGGACACACACCGACATTTAGAATGCTTGCGGATCTTAGAAATCCTGCGCGAGGTGATGTGTAAAGGTACTCAATGACATCACGAAAATCGATTCTTTTTCAGATTTTGAATTTGGCGCCTGATTTCGTCGTCTGCGTGTTTGGGCTCGATATGTGTGATAGTTTTTGTATTCATTACTCACCTGCCAATCAGCTGTAGCCACACGACCGATTCTCCAAATAAGGTCAATACTCCTTATATGGCAATGCGGAAGTGCTGACGTTCACTTGGTCGCCATTTTGTTCAAACTGGTTTGTGGTCTTGGATTTTATTTACAAGATTACCGGGTTTGCTTTACAAAAATGCGTTCCGCACTTTTAGCATTTGGCAGCGTTATGCTCACAGGAGCCGTCGTAGGTCATGCCTACTACCAGAAAAAACAGTTTTACCCATCCGTCGTGTATTTAACGAAGTCTAACCCGAGTATGGCCGTAAGTGTAACACGCTTGTTTCTTGTTGCAGTGTCAGCTTAGTGTTTACAATACGTGTAAGGAGTTAAATTGACCGATATCAATAGTACCGAACGTTTCGAAGATCCGTAAGGCGGTCATCATCGCAAAGCTTTGTCGCCAATCCATCATTTTTTATTTTACTCGATGCATTCATATTGGGACTTGCCCGGACTTCGCTGGTGCCAAACGTTCATTTTGTGAATAGCAATATATCGCGATTCGCCAATATGTTGATAAAGATTGTTTCTCATCGTTTTCTGAAGCAGATGGACATTCCTTGTACATAAAAATACATTCCTGCATTCATTTTGCCTTATTAAAAATGCCATTATACCACTGGTCCAGGTATTCTTATAATATTAATAATTATATTTCTTGTAAATCATTGTACTGTAATTACTTTTCAGGTACTATACATACAAGCGTTTGTTGTAGTGGTACTGATGGGTAAACTTTTCAGAAAAATGTTTTTTGGTCAACTTCGAGCTGCGGAAATGGAGGTTTGTAACTCAACACACAAGTGTACTATCATGCATGTACTACAGATACATGCATGATGTTTTAGTTTCTATTGTGTATATATTAGTAGTGCATCTGCTTGTGTAAATAACAGAAGTGTTTTAATTATCCAGTACTATACAATAAAAAATTAAAAGCAATGTTAGGCCTATCTACGCTTCTGTTGGAGATGCGATGTTATGTATAAATCTCAGACTGCTAAAAGAAAAAAAAAACGTTTGTTAGTGCATAGGGGTGCATAGTGATCTCAAAAATATGATCTTGTTGATAGAATAAAGTATGTACCAAATACTTTCTTGATAATAAACTAAATATACAACTAGGTTATGGTCAGAGGAGATATGGGAAAACTGCATATTGCAATTATTGAACATTTATTTACCCTTTATTAGTCCCCGTTCGGACGCAGTCCGAAAACGGGGACTTATGTTTTGCCCTGTGTGCGTCCGTCCGTCCGTCCGTCCGTGCGTCCGTGATCACCTGTATCTCGAACATGCATGGACCGATTAAGTTCAAACTTCACTCATACATCACACATTATATGGGACATATGCACATGCATTTTTTTCATGATCCGATTAACGATAGCCGAATAGCGGCCATTTTAAGGCCGAAAATGCATCAAAATCGCACATTTTCACCATTCCGGACCCGGATCTCAGTTATGCATGGACGGATTTTGTTCAAATTTGGTACATACATTAAACATAATAGGACCTTGATGCACGTCTTTTTTTTTTTTGGATCGGGTTCGAAATGGCCGACTGGCGGCCATTTTGTTTTAAAGAATTCAGTTCTGGATCCGTATTTGAGACATGCTTGGATTGATCGAGTTCAAACTTCACACACACAAGGTACATCATGTCACAAATATGTATGTGCATTTGTTTCATGATCTCATTAACGATAGCCAAATGGCGGCCGCTTTAAGGCCGAAAATGCATTGAAATCGCACATTTTCACCATTCCGGACCCGGATCTCAGTTATGCATGGACGGATTTCATTCAAATTTGGTACATACATTAAACATAATAGGACCTTGATGCACGTCATTTTTTTTTGCGGATCAAGTTCGAAATAGCCGACTGGCGGCCATTTTGTTTTAAAGAATTCAGTTCTGGATCCGTATCCGAGACATGTCTGGATTGATCAAGTTCAAACTTCACACACACAAGGTACATCATGTCACAAGGATGTATGTGCATTTGTTTCATGATCTCATTAACGATAGCCAAATGGGGGCCGCTTTAAGGCCGAAAATGCATTGAAATCGCACATTTTCACCATTCCGGACCCGTATCTCAGTTATGCATGGATGGATTTTGTTCAAATTTGGTACATACATTAAACATAATAGGACCTTGATGCACGTCTTTTTTTTTTTTTCGGATCAAGTTCGAAATGGCCGACTGGCGGCCATTTTGTTAAAGAATTCAGTTCTGGATCCGTATCCAAGACATGTCTGGATTGATCAAGTTCAAACTTCACACACAATGGTACATCATGTCACAAATAGATATGTGCCATTTGATTTCATGATCTGCTTAACAATAGCGAAATGATGGCCATTTTAAGGCCGAAAATGCATCAAAATCACGTATTTTCACAATTCCAGAACCGGATCTCAGTCATGCATGGATGGATTTTGTTCAGATTTAGCACAATGTGTTGTACATATGCAGGTGCATTTCGGTCATGATCTGCTTTGAATGTACATGTCACTCAAATATGAACGGAACGGGGACGTGTCATTGACAATGACTTGTTTTATTTAAGCTTCACATCCAACATAGACAATTACATTTATTCAGGATTTTTTTCAGATCTGAGAATTGTGCATGTTGCAACTGAACTGGACATACTAAAAAAAAAGTGAACACAAATTTATTTCTTCTGTTATTTATTGAATCTGAGCACAACCAGTCAACTCACTCACTGTATTTCTAATGCCAACGTTTCCATTGAATCTGAGCACAACTAGTCAACTCACTCACTGTATTTCTAATGCCAACGTTTCCATTGAATCTGAGCACAACTAGTCAACTCACTCACTGTATTTCTAATGCCAACGTTTCCATTGAATCTGAGCACAACCAGTCAACTCACTCACTGTATTTCTAATGCCAACGTTTCCATTGAATCTGAGCACAACTAGTCAACTCACTCACTGTATTTCTAATGCCAACGTTTCCATTGAATCTGAGCACAACTAGTCAACTCACTCACTGTATTTCTAATGCCAACGTTTCCATTGAATCTGAGCACAACTAGTCAACTCACTCACTGTATTTCTAATGCCAACGTTTCCATTGAATCTGAGCACAACTAGTCAACTCACTCACTGTATTTCTAATGCCAACGTTTCCATTGAATCTGAGCACAACTAGTCAACTCACTCACTGTATTTCTAATGCCAACGTATCCATTGAATCTGAGCACAACCAGTCAACTCACTCACTGTATTTCTAATGCCAACGTTTCCATTGAATCTGAGCACAACTAGTCAACTCACTCACTGTATTTCTAATGCCAACGTTTCCACTATAGTTAAATAAATAAGCAGTAAGTTGACATATTGTTTCTTCTGCAACAGAACTGTATTTTAAAAAGCTCATAGTTTTTGCTATGTAATGAAAAATAAATAACACAATGATATGACATATTTCTTCTGTAGCTCTTATCTTCTGTACAAAAGCAGTACTCAACACCCAAAACAATATGGGTATTTCCAGGGTTTGTAAATCTTATGAATACTAATTAGCTCATGAATATTAATGAGCGATCAGCACACCCAAAGAGCTGCGCAGATCCCTGCTTTATATAAGCAAATGCACCATGCTACGTTTATTAGACGCGCTTATCATACAGCAAATATGGTAATACTAAAATATCATCATTAATGCACATAAAAATCATGTCATGCCTAATCCTTTGTGGCAGATTGGGTAGGATAATATTGCATTTACAGTTATTATCTGAACGCATTTTATTACATTACAACCCAACAATATATTTCCGTGAGACAAGTGCTATAAATACTGTTTATCTTATACGTTTCTTGAACTGCAGTTATTGAGAAATTTATTTATAAGAAAAATAGAATAATTTAATTATGTTCATAGAAAAATAAGCCCTAGCCGTTTAAATCCTTTTTACATGGCAATATTGAAAATCTTTGCTGTTACAGTACATTACCCTTGACCTTGCTTAAGGATTATAAAATATGAATAATAATTTATGCAAAGCCCCCCCCAAAAAAAAACATCGTCATGATGGTAAAACTCAGCACTAGTCTATTTGCAACATTTTAAACCTGTCTGTTCTCTGATTAAAATATTCATATACACTATTAGGCATTGTGACCCCCTAATTATGTTACGTATATGTGATTAACAGAACTACAATTAATAATACTTACTTACTACTAATTCAACATTGTGGCCACGGCCACGACTAACAAAATATCATTTGTGTCGTTCCCCAACCAACTGGTTTGTTTTCATAGAAATGACTTTACATCGAACAATCATGATAATATTAGTCTAACTTCGATCCTCTAACAGGGATTCCCGCGTGCGATTCGGTGGCTTGGTGGCGCCCTTAGATGCTTAGGTTGTTTAGCAAAATGTTACTGACAAAACAAAGCATAAGGTTTTTTTGGGGGTGGGGGGTGGGGGGATTATTGAGGGTGAGTTGGAAAAAAAGATAAACATATTTTTTCCATAAATGAAAGAATAACAGAAAATAAAAGTTGTTACCCGGTCTGTGTAAATAATAATTGAATAAAAATTCCAGTTCCCTCAGACTCAAATGTAGACAGTTAAAAAAAATGGAAAAATATTTGCGAAAGGTAGGGTGAACGCGAAACCACCGCAGACTAGTCTTATATGCAGCGAATCTGTTGCTATTATTTATGCATGACATCACTGAACGGATACAGAAAAGGAGTGGGGCGTGCGTGTTGCATAATGAGGTAAACATTGTGGGTCTTCTGTGCAGATCGCG